GGGGTCAGGTCGGATACCGTCTGTGCTCACCTGGAATCCCAGAAACTTGAATTTCTGAGATGCCAGAGTGCACTTACTCACGTTAAGTCTGAACCCCGCCTTATCTAACAATGCCAACGTCTCATTCAAATCTCGTAAGTGCTCATCAAACGTCCTGGAGTAGATAACCACATCATTCAGGTACGCTAACGAGTGCCTCCCCAAGACTGGACTGAGGATATAATTAATTGCCCTCTGAAATGATGAAGGCGCTGTCTTTAACCCGAAAGGCATCGGCTTGAATTGATAAGTATGAACCTCATCAGAGAAGGCGGTCTTTTCTCTATCTTTCTCAGCGACTGGGATGGCCCAATACGCAGATTTCACATCCAGAGTGGAAAAGTATTTGGCTGCCCCAAACTGATCTATTATTTCTTGTATCCGTGGCAAAGGATACACATCACCTTTAGTAATTTCGTTGATCTTTCGGTAGTCAACACAAAACCTATAACTACCATCCGGTTTACGTACCAACACCACTGGCGACAACCATGGTGATGTACTAAGCTCTATCACATCCTGTCTCAACATTTTCTGACACTCATCCCTAATTACTTCCTTCGCCCGTTCCGGAAGTCTCCATTGACGGGTGTAAATAGGAGGGTGATCACCTGTAGGAATAACATGCTCGATCCTATCCAGAAGCCCGATCTGATCGTCTTCTGTTGCAAACAGTCTAGGGAATTTACGTAAAATCCCTCTCAAAAGTTTCCTATCTGACTGTTGCACATGTTGCAAATCCAGAGCCGAGATTAACTTATCAACTTCTTGAATATTACTACTTTTTCCTGTCTCGGTCTTGTGTTTCCCCTGTGTACTACTTTCTGTAACATTAAGCGCACTACATTGTGCTGTGGTGGCTGGCATCTCCTGGCTTTGATACTGAAAAATTCCTGTATTTTCTACAAGTGTAGCCTGAGACACCCTATCACCCGCCCTGAAACGATAGGTTTTGTGCGAGAGATTGACAACTGGAATAAGGGCACCTTTATCAAGCACTGTGATCAAATGATGAAGGATCAACAACCTGTCACATCTCCCAGCCACCTGAAGGGTGGTACCTGGTGCAATGTGACGTCCCACTGATACTTTAATGAATTTAACTGAATGTGGTGGGCAACATTGTTTCACCAAGGCATGTAACCCACATGATTTCTTCTCTGTGTCTGGAAGAGACTTGAACAACAACTTAGGGTAGTGAATGTTGTACTTCTGTTTCTTACTAATGGAAGCAATTATTGGATAATGATCTACCATTTTAATGGGATAAACTACCTGGCCCAACTTCAATCTGCACTTCCTTGCTCCCTCTTGAGCTTCATCAATCAATCAATCGTCCCCGGTCACCCTGTGGCCACCACGCGGCCGCACAGCGCCCGACGTCACAGGAGCCCGCGGGCCAGCATCCTTCTTAAGGACCAGCACCAAGTCCTTCCCCACATCCACGGACTCCGTAGGGGCAACAACCCCATCCTCCGAGGGAGCCCACAGCAGGGGACGCAAGGGGCACATAGAAGCCGGCGCGGACACCCGAACACCAGCATCCGCCCCCACAGCATGGACATCTGCCACCATCACCGCCGACCCACCACCAGACAACAGGAGCTGCTGCCCACCCCCCTACTACCGAAGACATAGTACTCGCATATTCGTCCACGTCCGCCCAGACGGGGCTTCCAGGAAGAGGAGTAACTGGCGAACGCCTGGAACCCGCATATCATCAGATATGGTCCGGCCACATACCATCAGAACTCTCCACTTCGACGATGGCCGACGCACCGGAGGTGCAAGGAAGCTGGTCCCGGGAACGTAGCCCACGGCCACGCAAAATCGCAGCAGCAGCGACCACAGGAGGCACGGGCCCATGCATAACAGAAGACCGCAAATCCACTGGCGCAACAGGGTCCACACACACGGCCCCAACACCAGGAAGCGAGCCATTAGAGTCCAGAGCTGCAGGAGAACCATCTACAACCGCCGTGGGAAGGGGAAGGGGGAAGGGGGAGGGAAGACAGGGGAGAGACCACACTCGTCACTACAACCACGCCTGGACCACACAACTCCCTCAGAGAGCACAGCTAGATGATGAAGGCACAGGCAATGAAGGCACAGGGACCGCCGCACAGCCACCACCGGTTGCTTCTCAATCGACAGGCGGCTGTGGAGGTACAGCATCCACCGCCATCCCGACACCACAAAAGCATCAGGAGTAACCAACGGGGGGAAATCATCTTCACGGAAGAGGTTCACTTGGGTTACGACATCCGCACTGCAAGCCTAGTGCCCCGACAACCCGCAACGGAAACAGGTCCGCGGCTGCCGGGCATAATACACACGCAGATAGTAGTCCATTAACTTCACTGACGAAGGAATGTCAGACTTGAGCCGCATCTCCATGTCCGGATGCCGTTCTGAATGCCTCTCAGTCTACCAGAGGATATAGTATTCATCTGGATGGACACCACCCAACCAAACTGCCCAAAGAAGCGCCGGGGCAGCACCTCAGGGAACTCGATAGGGGCACCATGGATGCTGACATATGTAGCGGAATCACTGCGGATCGAAACAACCACAGAACCAGCAGCATCCGGCAACAGGAATGTGCGGCCGCCAAAGCGATACACAAAGCCCTGATAGGCCTCCTCCATATACAACTTAACTAATGTCCGATACTTCGTAATCAGCTAGACGCCACAGACGTCACCAACGTCAATGCCCAACACATCTAACAAGGGGGTGTACACTGCAGGGTAGTCCGCGAGTCCAGAACATTCCAGTCCAATTGTCCTGGACCGCAAGACATGGGGCAAGGGACCTCCTCTCATCACTGAGGAGCAGCCGTGCAAAGGGGGCGACACAACGGCAACACCCTTGAGAACCGCACGCAAGGCTAAGACAATTACAACTGAGAGTGTAGGCGACACGTCCGCATCCCATAGCGACCAGGTCGCAACTCCCTTCAGTGGATATAGACACCCCAGAACAGAGCTTTGGTCGTTAAGCATATATGGTCTTTATCTACAAACCTTCATTCAGGACATATATACACCAATACACCAAACAGTGTTCTCTGCTTCTTAGTGTATAAACACTGAGTTTACTTTAGTCCTGGACTAAAGTATACTAGCTAATGGGTCAGTAAGCAACTGTGGTAACTTTTAATAAATATAATTGTTGATAGACGTCAAGTCAATACCAAAATCTAAATGAAGCTTCATTCAGTGGCATTGGATTACGTCGAGTTTCAATGGATAAAGTACTCTACCGAGTTTCATTCTCAGTTTAAGGGCTTTATGCTGCTTAATTGGACAAGGACACCCCACAGAGCATAAATCCGTGGAAATGGATCCTTCACCGAACTTCAGTTAATTGGTATAAACTCCAGAGATTCATTAAGCATGATATAGTGCATGTTCACAGAGTTTTAATCAATGGGTATAAACTCTCCAAAAGTATATACAGCAAGGACTATCTGCAGAGTTTCATTTCGTTGCTATAAAATTGGGTGGCAGTTAGTCAGCTGCCATGAATTCAGTAGATCATTAATCTGTGGGTGTGGATTCTCCACTGAGCTTCAGTGTGTGGGTATAATCACTTCAGCTGCAGTAAGTGAGCCCGACTATCTTTCCAGAGCTTATGTCGGTGGGTATTTACTCTCCAGAGATCATCATCTGACATGGACTTAGTCTTACAGCTTTAATCATGGAATATAGATTTGACAGTTTCAGTCAATAAGTTAGTCCCCAGCGTCAGTCAGGGATATACATTCAGCACCTTCAATAAATAAAGCTTGTCAGGGAATATGGACTCTATATAAAGCCGGAATCGGTGGGTAAGGACTGTCTGCATCTTCACTGGGTATGAAAACTCCACACAGCTTCAGTATGGGGGTTATGGATTATTCATTCACTAAACTTCAGTGAATGAAGGTGTAATGGGTGAAGTTGAAGAGTGGAAAGGGGTGGGTAAAGAGGTGGGAGGTGGAGGTGGGAGGTGGAGGGGCTGTTGGAGTTACAGGAGTGGACGATAGTGTAGCGGAGGGAGGAAGAGGTTAGGACAGGTAAGGCAATTATACAGTTATAATATTGATAGAAATTAGCTTACCTCATCCCAGTGGGTCTGAAATCAATCAATATTCTGATATCAATCAACATTCCTTAATATAAATCTCAAGAAAATGATTGCTTTTTCTTGTTAGAAAGCTTACATTAGGGGTTCAGAAAGAGTTGATGTATGTACATTGTGCCCCAAATTTATAATGTTGAGATATGCTGTACTTAATAAATATTACCTGAAGGAACCCTTGATGATATTCTGTCTGCACCTGTACCCAAGAGTTAGTACGCGAGACAATAACTATGTAATATATGTGATAACACTAGCTTGTAAATGCACTTATATGGGATGAGTGTTCAACAACTCGCTATGTGCATTAACAGGTCTCCTGCCACCGTCAACGTAGGAGAGACGAATATGTATTTATAAGTGGTGGTCAGAATTGTAACCTGCCTTTGGAAATGCACATCAATCACATCCTGTGGGTGAGTGCGCAATAACCCACCGCACAATGTGTAGAACACATCTCTCAACCCGTCTGTATAACGGACAAAAATGTATGTATTTACTATTTGTGCCTACAGAATTGAGCGATTAGCTTTTGTACTCCGGCTTTCTACCCAATCTATTTTTATTTGTTCTATCATATCTACTACATATAATAATAATAATAATAATAATAATAATAATAATAATAATAATAATAATAATAATAATAATAATAATAATAATAATAATAATAATAATATTTTATTCAGGAAAAGTCTATACATAGATACAGAGTTACAAACATAATGTTGGATTAATAGATATAGTTAGTACATACAATACTTAAAGCCACTAATACGCATAGCGTTTCGGGTTTTATATATTTTTTACATACACAAACACATACATTCCTGGAACTCATCCCGTAGCAGCTGTTTAACTCCTAGGTACCTATTTATTGTTAGGGGAACAAAGGCACCAAGGGAGTGAACCTTTGCTCATTGGTTTCTGCCTCAGCCGGAAATCAAACCCGGTGCCATAGGACTACAACCTCCTGTGATCGAATGCTTAGTAACTCAAAATGTGCTGAAGCAGCTCTCTAACACTGTTTCTGTAGGACAGACGAAAGTTATACACTCTGGTTTGCATTGTGTAAATGTATGGTCACGTCTGTGGTAGAAGAAAACACAACATAACATTGCTGTTGTTTAGCTTTTATTATGCACCCCATACCCATCCTGTGGGCGGTGGTGGAAAGGTTACAGAGGCACATCATGGGCTCAGGAACTGAACCCCAATATTCGCTTGGCTAAGCAAATCACAGCATTGATAAACTAATTACAGAGTTTACTAACATTTACATAAACAGTCTGTTTACAGTTTCAATTAGTTTAATTTTTATAAAGACCCGCACCCATCCAGAGTGCTGTAACAAGAGAGTCAAATGATTCAGAAATTGGACCTCAATTTTATTGAAGGTTAGCATTTCAAATCAGTGTTTAAGTATTCCCATGTGGGCTTCATGTATGTATAACATGGAGGAGGCCACACCCATCCAGTGGGCGGCGGAGGAACGTGTACAGTCACTCTGTGGGGGTCAGGCACTAAACCCGTGTTCGTTTGGTTAAGCAGATATGTATAAATAATGGTCTGGAATACTTGTTTAGTTAGTTCCATATACACGTGTTTCCTAGCGGTGCTCACTAGTGTTTAATACTAATGCTTTCTGGTCCGTTATTGTGTTTGTAAGGTGGGTAAGACTTTCATTAACATTTGTGTCATTGTTTGTACTGGTCACGGAATACTTAGAGTAAGTTATACTCTTGGCCAGCTACAGGTTGTTGTAGCAAGCAAGTCGGCAGTACTAGGTATGGAGACGCTTTACAGTGTCAAAAACTCTGATGAGTCTAATTTAGGGTACACAAGGTGAATAGGGTTTGAGTCAGTAAGTCACTGCTTCGATTTGTGCTTTCGTTTAAATATCTTAGTGCCTGAAGAGATATGTTTCTCAATTCGTACGTTTATCACATTTTCATAATGCAAGACATTATTTATAATAACTCTGTACGCAGATCCAGCCCTTTCATTAATATGATTAGCATAGCCTTCAGTGTGTATTTTGCTTAATTATTTACTGCCTCATTACTGAATTCAAGACCTATATCTCATTTATTGTGTGAACATTTTTGGAATTTTTATCTCGTTGATTTCAGTATTACATGACTCTTCTTATAAGTCTATATACCAGGTTCCCACGGAAGTGGACTCTTGGGTTTGCTCAAGCAAGTGGAATTTTTAGAACTTTACATACTACTCGATTCCTTGCCTCTTTGTGCCGTTCCTTTATCCTGCTATGTATAACACATAGATCAAAATTTTAGTAGTACCATAATTACAATAAGAGTCTCTGACAGTCTTAATAGCATGCTTGGCACTCATAGTACTATTTTTTACATTTGGAAGACTAAGTTCTTGTCTTAGATTCGAAGTCTGGGCATTCTTTGTGTCCGAGAACGATTGTCATGGTTTCATTTTATAATTATTTCCAGGACTGCTGAGTGCAGTTGGAACACACTGGAAATTTTGTAAACCCAGCCACCGAAAGTCCTCTTGATTCACACAGTGAAGTAATCAGTCTATGTCTGGTTTAATATAGCCACAAAATACTGTTCAATGTGTAGTGTCAAACTAATCCTCACTATTTTTCAACAAGTAAATTAATTTTTAGCATTATGATGGATTTGAACTGTGATCCAAGATATTTTCGAGCTTGTGTTTGAATGAATCTGGGACAATTGGAACAATGTTGTCATTATCCTCAGTCAAGCAGCTTTAAGTAAAGTGTGAATTAGGGTGCCTGACCGTACTTTTTATACAGGGTGTAAGAAAAGTCTCTTCTCATAAGGGTGAGCAAAAACTGTAAATTAAACATCACATTAAAATTCATTTGCTTTCTTGGTTGGAATCATTTAAACATCAGTGGTCCATGTCTCCTTACATCGCACGCTTCACAATTTGAAACAGACAATTATAAATTAATGCAGAAAATCGATGGACGAATGTTACACAGAGCTGTAACCAAACTCAGAATGCGGATCGACACGAGTATGAATGTAGGAGTAATACACAAAAATTAATTAGTATTGCATATAGTTTTCCTATAAAAATGAAATTTTGTTTCAACTTGTATATCCAGAAAAAACACATTTAATTTTTGAGTTTTAAACCTCTTTTTTTTTTTTATAAAGCATGGAGGAGTTTTATCGAGTGTTCGTGATCCCTTAAATTCCAGTTCGAATTCTGTATAATTCTTAAAAAGTAACTTGCAATGTGTACTGTAGCCTAACGTACTGAGAGGCTGGCGGTTAGAAATATATAGCCAAAACCTGCTTTCTCTTTACTCGTTATTTTCCTTCGTCAAACTTATATAATTATTGTCCAATACACCTGGCCAGAAAGTCATACCGCTGACCATCTGTATATTGGATGCTGTCCTGTGTCTGTGTATGATACTCATACGTAAGGGTCTTGATGTCAATGTATCATACACAAGGGTTACTGCATCTATATGCGTCATTCAAACACCGAGTAAAACAACTTTTACACAAATAATAAAATACTTATTTACACCCATACTTAAGAATTAGTATGATCATTAGGCATATTCAGGTCGCGGAAGAAACACTATCACGGCGAAGCTTAGTGTAGCCTTCAGGCAGTGGCATGTCGAAGACCACTGGAGGATTGACGGGTTCGTAAGTGACGTCACAGGTGGATGCATTCACGAACACCGTAGTTCCGTCTGTCGTCATCCCGTATCCTGGGAGAAGAAGTCACGTGTCAGCTCAACAACCATAACTGATAAGATTAGATTTTAGAGTCACTTTGATCGGGGGAAGATTAAATGGGGTTACTATAACACGGCAGGAAATTCGGTTATTCAAAAGCAAAGGCTCTTTTTTTTAACTACATGTGCATGCACGCGCGCACACTCTGTCGATACCTCCATTTCACACACACACAACTCCAAATCTAACACCAGAGGAACGCATCACCAGATCATCATCAATTCTGGCAGCAGCAGTCAGAATAGCTAACCAAACTCTCAAGATAATCAAGCATACTTTTGATTATAAGGAAAGAAGGTAATGGTTCAACTGTATAATTCTCTAGTGCGCTCCCCATTTGGATTACTGTAGCCAAGCCTGGAGACCTCATTTTCAGAAGGGCATAGCTGCTCTTGAGAAGGTGCAACACCGGGCAACAAAAATTATCACAGAGTTAAGTCTTCTCTCGTATCAGGAACGCTTGGAAGCCACAGGGCTAACAACACTGCAAACCAGGCATGACAGGGCGGATCTCATTGAAACTTTTAAAATACTGTTAAGAAGATATTGATCTGGATATTTTCTTCAGGTCAGATGTAACACAAACAAGGAGCAACGGCTTCAAGCTCAACAAGCCACACTGTAGGATTGAGAACAGGAGATGTCTTTTCACCCCACAGGGGTTATTAATCCATGGAACCGATGACCCGCCGAAGCCGTAACTGCCAAAACTGTCTTGAGTTTTAAAATATATCAAGAAAGGATCATCAAGGCAAATGAGGGACATTCGACAAGCCGCCGGGTTCCTGTCCTCGTCGAGGTCACTAGGGTTATTGGCCTTCGGGTAAATCAGGTAAATAACATATAACCAGCTGCCAAATGCCCGGATAACCTTTCTGCACCTGTACTTGGACAAAGAAGCCTTCCGAGTATCTATATCCAGCACGAGATCCAATCTTTCTTAACCTGCCCCGGCATGGAGCCCCTACATAAACACGACTTAAGAGGTGCAACGATATGCAACAAAGATCACTCTCTGGTGGCAAGGGGGATTTAGCTATGACGAAAGATTAAGGGGACCGGAGCCCATTACATTGCAGAACAGAAGCAAAGCACATATTTATATTTTCACCAGGTACCTCCACCCCAGAAATATCAGGAAGAATACCAGGAAGTAGCCTAAATGAACAGACACATGCAAATGACCTGCTACGGATGTGCGACAGGTTTGCCTTAAACCAGCAAATAGTAGAACCAACTAGGAAGAACACCCTGGACCTCATTTTCACCAATAATGATGAATTGATCAGGAACATAATGATTACAAATACCTGTTACTTAGATCACAACTTAATTGAAGTTCTAACAAGCATGGGGAATAGACCTTCAAAATCAGCCCCGATTCCAGGTGGAGGAGATTTCAGCAAATTCAACATCAATAATAAACAGATAAACTGGGAGCAAATAAACCAGGACTTCACTGAAATAAACTGGGAAGAACAGCTAGAAAATGCAAACCTGAACCAGTGCCTGGAAAAAATAAGATCAGTAGCACTAGAAATATGTTCAAACCGCATACCCCTAAGAAAAAAGAGGAAGAGATGAAGATTGGAACGGGAACGTCGTTCCCTATATTGGCGAAGAAAACGAATCGCGGAACAACTTGAGAGTCGCACCCTATCTCAAGAACGGCAAAGAAGGTTAGGTAGAGAAATAGAAACATTTGAACTCAAGCTACAAGAATCATACAAAACCCAGGAGAGGCAAAGAGAGCAAAAGGCCATCAGTGAAATAGAGAGAAATCCGAAATATTTTTTCTCCTATGCAAAATCAAGATCAAAAACCACTTCTAGTATCGGGCCCCTGCGAAAGGGAGATGGAACTTTCACCGATGACAACAAAGAAATGAGCGAGTTACTGAGGAAGCAGAACGACTCTGTTTTCAGCGAGCCACTAAATACACTACAGATTGATAACCCAAATGATTTTTTCATGGATATGATACCAACATCAAATCATATATCAGACGTCACCCTATCCCCAGCAGATTTTGAAGAAGCAATAAACAGTATGCCTATGCACTCTGCACCAGGCCCTGATTCTTGGAACTCCATATTCATCAAGAACTGTAAAAAAACCCCACTATCGCAGGTCCTTCACATTCTTAGGAGACAAAGCCTAGATACTGGTTTTATCCCTGACATACTAAAAATAGCAGAGATAGCACCACTCCATAAGGAGGAAATAAGGCAGAGGCAAAAAATGACGGACCGATAGCACTAACATCGCACATCATAAAAATCTTTGAGAGAGTGCAAAGAAGTAAGATCACAAAATACATGGAATCACAGCATCTCCATAACCCCGGACAACATGGTTTCAGAACAGGGCGCTCTTGCCTGTCACAGTTGCTGGACCACTATGATATGGCATTAGATGCTATGGAAGACAAACAAAACGCTGATGTAATTTACACAAATTTCGCAAAAGCCTTCGACAAATGTGACCAAGGTGTTATTGCACATAAAATGCGTTCAAAAGGAATTACCGGAAAAATAGGCAGATGAATCTACAATTTCCTGACTAATAGAACCCAATGTGTAATAGTCAACAAAATAAAATCCAGCCCATCAACCGTGAAGAGCTCAGTCCCCCAGGGTACTGTGCTTGCTCCAATACTGTTTCTCATCCTCATATCGGACATAGACAAGAACACAATCTATAGCACTGTATCATCCTTTGCAGATGACACTAGGATCTTCATGAGAGTTGGCAACATAGAGGACACGGCTAACCTCCAATCAGATGTAAATCAGGTCTTTCTATGGGCTACAGAAAATAATATGGTGTTTAACGAAGATAAGTTCCAACTCATGCGCTACGGAAAAAAAATGAAAATATATAAACGGAAACCACGTACAAAACTCAGGCAAATCATAACATAGAACGAAAAGGCAATGTAAAGGATCTGGGTGTACTCATGTCGGAAGACCTTACCTTTAAAGAACACAATAAAGTAGCCGTCACAACTGCAAGAAAAATGACAGGTTGGATAACAAGAACTTTTCAATCTAGAGTTGCTATACCGAAGATGATACTTTTCAAGACGCTAGTGCTCTCTAAAGTGGAGTACTGCTGCACAATGACAGCCCCCTTACAAAACTGGAGAAATTGCTGACCTGGAGAGCGTGCAGAGATCCTTTACTGCTAGAATCCACTCAGTAAAATATCTAAACTACTGGGACCGACTAAAGAGCTTAAATTTGTACTCCCTTGAGCGCAAGCGGGAGAGATACATAATAATTTACACGTGGAAAATAGTAGAGAGGCTGGTCCCAAACCTGCACACAGAAATAACATCACATGAGACCAGAAGGCATGGCAGGATGTGCAGAATACCCCCGTTGAAAAGTAGAGGTGCAACAGGTACTCTGAGAGAGAACTCTTTCAACATCAGAGGCCCGAGACTGTTCAACACGCTTCCGCTACACATAAGGGGCATAACTGGCCGACCCCTCACAGTATTCAAGAGAGAACTGGATAAGCACCTCCAAAGGATACCTGATCAACCAAGCTGTGATTCGTACGTCAGGCTGAGAGCAGCCGCGTCCAACAGCCTGGTCGACCAGTCCAGCAACCAGGAGGCCTGGTTAATGACCGGGCCGCGAAGGCATATTCCCGGAAGCACCTCAAGGTAACCTTAAGGTAACCCCACACCAGGTACCTCCACATTACATCAGGTACCAGAACACCACACCAGGTACCTACCACCTCCACACCACTCCAGGTACCACCACCCCACACCAGGTACCCGTACACAAGACGTGACTAATAACTAACCCTCGTGGATGTGACCGAAGACATGGTAGGCAGGCTTGATCCTGGTCTGGACGGCGGCGAGGAGGTCCACACAGCCGACCCTCTGTTCCCTCCAGGTGAGGTCCCCGTGCCCCAGCGGCGGCTCGTGGGTCATCAGAATGTCAGTATCCGTAGGGATTATTTGCCACTTGTGCTGCAGAGACTTCCCCCGCGGTAAGTTGAAGGCCATCACGTGGTACTCCGGCGTCCTGCGGGGCACACACAGGTCCTCTCAGGTAGGTTAGGTTAGGTTAGGTTAGGAGAGGTAAGTGGCTTGGGTTAATATACCTTTATGTTTAGGTTAGTAAGCTGCATTTTGTACGTTGTGGCAAGTTAAGAGGACCGTTGAATTATCAGGAGGAAGAACTAGGCCAGTACTGTATGAGTATATTGTACCATGAAGAGTTTGTGGCGACACACTAGGAGCTGTGGTGTGGCGACACACTAGGAGCTGTGGTGTGGCAACACACTAGGAGCTGTGGTGTGGCGACACACTAGGAGCTGTGGTGTGGCGACACACTAGGAGCTGTGGTGTGGCAACACACTAGGAGCTGTGGTGTGGGGGACACACTAGGAGCTGGGGTGTGGCGACACACTAGGAGCTGTGGTGTGGCGACACACTAGGAGCTGTGGTGTGGCAACACACTAGGAGCTGTGGTGTGGGGGACACACTAGGAGCTGGGGTGTGGCGACACACTAGGAGCTGTGGTGTGGCGACACACTAGGAGCTGTTGTGTGGCGACACACTAGGAGCTGGGGTGTGGGGACACACTAGGAGCTGTTGTGTGGCGACACACTAGGAGCTGGGGTGTGGCGACACACTAGGAGCTGTTGTGTGGTGACACACTAGGAGCTGGGGTGTGGGGACACACTAGGAGCTGTTGTGTGGCGACACACTAGGAGCTGGGGTGTGGCGACACACTAGGAGCTGTTGTGTGGCTACACACTAGGAGCTGGGGTGTGGGGACACACTAGGAGCTGTTGTGTGGCGACACACTAGGAGCTGGGGTGTGGCGACACACTAGGAGCTGTTGTGTGGCGACACACTAGGAGCTGGGGTGTGGGGACACACTAGGAGCTGTTGTGTGGCGACACGCTAGGAGCTGGGGTGTGGCGACACACTAGGAGCTGTTGTGTGGTGACACACTAGGAGCTGGGGTGTGGCGACACACTAGGAGCTGTTGTGTGGCGACACACTAGGAGCTGGGGTGTGGGGACACACTAGGAGCTGCTGTGTGGCGACACACTAGGAGCTGGAGTGTGGTGACACACTAGGAGCTGTTGTGTGGCGACACACTAGGAGCTGGGGTGTGGCGACACACTAGGAGCTGGGGTGTGGGGACACACTAGGAGCTGTTGTGTGGCGACACACTAGGAGCTGTTGTGTGGCGACACACTAGGAGCTGGGGTGTGGGGACACACTAGGAGCTGTTGTGTGGCGACACACTAGGAGCTGTTGTGTGGCGACACACTAGGAGCTGGGGTGTGGCGACACACTAGGAGCTGGGGTGTGGCGACACACTAGGAGCTGTGGTGTGGCGACACACTAGGAGCTGTGGTGTGGCAACACACTAGGAGCTGTGGTGTGGGGGACACACTAGGAGCTGGGGTGTGGCGACACACTAGGAGCTGTGGTGTGGCGACACACTAGGAGCTGTTGTGTGGCGACACACTAGGAGCTGGGGTGTGGGGACACACTAGGAGCTGTTGTGTGGCGACACACTAGGAGCTGGGGTGTGGCGACACACTAGGAGCTGTTGTGTGGTGACACACTAGGAGCTGGGGTGTGGGGACACACTAGGAGCTGTTGTGTGGCGACACACTAGGAGCTGGGGTGTGGCGACACACTAGGAGCTGTTGTGTGGCTACACACTAGGAGCTGGGGTGTGGGGACACACTAGGAGCTGTTGTGTGGCGACACACTAGGAGCTGGGGTGTGGCGACACACTAGGAGCTGTTGTGTGGCGACACACTAGGAGCTGGGGTGTGGGGACACACTAGGAGCTGTTGTGTGGCGACACGCTAGGAGCTGGGGTGTGGCGACACACTAGGAGCTGTTGTGTGGTGACACACTAGGAGCTGGGGTGTGGCGACACACTAGGAGCTGTTGTGTGGCGACACACTAGGAGCTGGGGTGTGGGGACACACTAGGAGCTGCTGTGTGGCGACACACTAGGAGCTGGAGTGTGGTGACACACTAGGAGCTGTTGTGTGGCGACACACTAGGAGCTGGGGTGTGGCGACACACTAGGAGCTGGGGTGTGGGGACACACTAGGAGCTGTTGTGTGGCGACACACTAGGAGCTGTTGTGTGGCGACACACTAGGAGCTGGGGTGTGGGGACACACTAGGAGCTGTTGTGTGGCGACACACTAGGAGCTGTTGTGTGGCGACACACTAGGAGCTGGGGTGTGGCGACACACTAGGAGCTGGGGTGTGGCGACACACTAGGAGCTGGGGTGTGGCGACACACTAGGAGCTGTTGTGTGGCGACACACTAGGAGCTGGGGTGTGGCGACACACTAGGAGCTGTTGTGTGGCGACACACTAGGAGCTGGGGTGTGGGGACACACTAGGAGCTGCTGTGTGGCGACACACAAGGAGCTGGAGTGTGGTGACACACTAGGAGCTGTTGTGTGGCGACACACTAGGAGCTGGGGTGTGGCGACACACTAGGAGCTGGGGTGTGGGGACACACTAGGAGCTGTTGTGTGGCGACACACTAGGAACTGTTGTGTGGCGACACACTAGGAGCTGGGGTGTGGGGACACACTAGGAGCTGTTGTGTGGCGACACACTAGGAGCTGGGGTGTGGCGACACACTAGGAGCTGGGGTGTGGGGACACACTAGGAGCTGGGGTGTGGCGACACACTAGGAGCTGTTGTGTGGCGACACACTAGGAGCTGGGGTGTGGGGCGACAGGACGTGTATGGGGTCCACTACCACCCACGGGATGGGTATGGGGTCCACTACAACCCACGGGATGGGTATGGGGTCCACTACCACCCACTGGATGGGTATGGGGGTCCACTACCACCCACTGGATGGGTATGGGGTCCACTACCACCCACGGGATGGGTATGGGGTCCACTACCACCCACTGGATGGGTATGGGGTCCACTACCACCCACGGGATGGGTATGGGGTCCACTACCACCCACGGGATGGGTATGGGGGTCCACTACCACCCACGGGATGGGTATGGGGTCCACTACCACCCACTGGAAGGGTATGGGGGTCCACTACCACCCACTGGATGGGTATAGGGTCCACTACCACCCACGGGAAGGGTATGGGGTCCACTACCACCCACGGGATGGGTATGGGGTCCACTGCCACCCACGGGATAGGTATGGGGGTCCACTACCACCCACTGGATGGGTATGGGGTCCACTACCACCCACGGGAAGGGTATGGGGTCCACTACCACCCACGGGATGGGTATGGGGTCCACTACCATCCACGGGATGGGTATGGGGTCCACTACCACCCACTGGATGGGTATGGGGTCCACTACCACCCACGGGATGGGTATGGGGTCCACTACCACCCACGGGATGGGTATGGGGTCCACTACCACCCACGGGATGGGTATGGGGTCCACTACCACCCACGGGATGGGTATGGGGTCCACTACCACCCACAGGATGGGTATGGGGTCCACTACCACCCACGGGATGGGTATGGGGTCCACTACCACCCACAGGATGGGTATGGGTGTATAATTATTGAACAAACAATCACAAACACACGCTTCAGACACAAGAATACACTGTTCAATAATGTATTCAGGACTGAATAAGATATACAAAAAATAGGAAGGAATTAATTAAGTGTCGAGCTTTTTGAACACAAGTAATTGAATGTATGTGAGGAACACTTTGAGGAGTGCGACCACCCTAGAGAGCAGTGGCAACGCTTCATTATCAGTGCTAAGCTAAGCTTTCGAATAGAATGAACACTGGAAGAAGCTTTATATATCAGAACATGGAAGCAAAAGCACAGTTTATTTTAAAAAATAAATGAAAGGTATGGATTGTTGAGGTTACCATGGTGCACCGTAGATCTTGATACCGTAGATGGTGACGGAGCTGTCCTGGAGGTAGGTGGCGTTCCTGAGGACGGTGAGCGGGTCGGCCGCCTTGTGGGTGTAGCAGGCCACCTGGTCCAGCAGCACCTCGTGGTTACCTGAGATGACCACCTTGTGGGGGTGAGGCAGCGTCCCTGTGGTGAGGCAAGGGGGGGGAGGTGAGGCAGCGTCCTTGTGGTGAGGCAAGGGGGGGGGGTGAGGCAGCGTCCCTGTGGTGAGGCAAGGGTGGGGGTGAGGCAGCGTCCCTGTGGTGAGGCAAGGGGGGGGGAGGTGAGGCAGCGTCCCGGTGGTGAGGCAAGGGTGGGGGAGGTGAGGCAGCGTCCTTGTGGTGAGGCAAGGGGGGGGGTGAGGCAGCGTCCCTGTGGTGAGGCAAGGGTGGGGGAGGTGAGGCAGCGTCCCTGTGGTGAGGCAAGGGTGGGGGAGGCGAGGCAGCGTCCCTGTGGTGAGGCAAGGATGGGGGTGAGGCAGCGTCCCTGTGGTGAGGCAAGGACGGGGGTGAGGCAGCGTCCCTGTGGTGAGGCAAGGATGGGGGTGAGGCAGCGTCCCTGTGGTGAGGCAAGGATGGGGGTGAGGCAGCGTCCCTGTGGTGAGGCAAGGATGGGGGTGAGGCAGCGTCCCTGTGGTGAGGCAAGGGTGGGGGTGAGGCAGCGTCCCTGTGGTGAGGCAAGGGTGGGGGAGGTGAGGCAGCGTCCCTGTGGTGAGGCAAGGGTGGGGGAGGTGAGGCAGCGTCCCTGTGGTGAGGCAAGGATGGGGGTGAGGCAGCGTCCCTGTGGTGAGGCAAGGGTGGGGGTGAGGCAGCGTCCCTGTGGTGAGGCAAGGATGGGGGTGAGGCAGCGTCCCTGTGGTGAGGCAAGGGTGGGGGTGAGGCAGCGTCCCTGTGGTGAGGCAAGGGGGGGGGTGGAGGTGAGGCAGCGTCCCTGTGGTGAGGCAAGGGTGGGGGAGGTGAGGCAGCGTTCCTGTGGTGAGGCAAGGGTGGGGGTGAGGCAGCGTCCCTGTGGTGAGGCAAGGGGGGGGGTGGAGGTGAGGCAGCGTCCCTGTGGTGAGGCAAGGGTGGGGAGGTGAGGCAGCGTCCCTGTGGTGAGGCAAGGGTGGGGGAGGTGAGGCAGCGTCCTTGTGGTGAGGCAAGGGTGGGGGTGAGGCAGCGTCAATGTGGTGAGGCAAGGATGGGGGTGAGGCAGCGTCCCTGTGGTGAGGCAAGGGGCGGTGAGGCAGCGTCCCTGTGGTGAGGCAAGGGTGGGGGAGGTGAGGCAGCTTCCCTGTGGTGAGGCAAGGGCGGGGGAGGTGAGGCAGCGTCCCTGTGGTGAGGCAAGGGGGGGGAGGCAGCGTCCCTGTGGTGAGGCAAGGGTGGGGGAGGTGAGGCAGCGTCCCTGTGGTGAGGCAAGGGTGGGGGTGAGGCAGCGTCCCTGTGGTGAGGCAAGGGTGGGGGTGAGGCAGCGTCCCTGTGGTGAGGCAAGGGTGGGGGTGAGGCAGCGACTCTGTGGTGAGGCAAGGGTGGGGGAGGTGAGGCAGCGTCCCTGTGGTGAGGCAAGGGTGGGGGTGAGGCAGCGTCCCTGTGGTGAGGCAAGGGTGGGGGAGGTGAGGCAGCGTCCCTGTGGTGAGGCAAGGGTGGGGGTGAGGCAGCGTCCCTGTGGTGAGGCAAGGATGGGGGTGAGGCAGCGTCCCTGTGGTGAGGCAAGGGTGGGGGTGAGGCAGCGTCCCTGTGGTGAGGCAAGGGTGGGGGAGGTGAGGCAGCGTCCCTGTGGTGAGGCAAGGGTGGGGGTGAGGCAGCGTCCCTGTGGTGAGGCAAGGGTGGGGAGGTGAGGCAGCGTCCCTGTGGTGAGGCAAGGGTGGGGGTGAGGCAGCGTCCCTGTGGTGAGGCAAGGATGGGGGTGAGGCAGCGTCCCTGTGGTGAGGCAAGGGTGGGGTGAGGCAGCGTCCCTGTGGTGAGGCAAGGATGGGGGTGAGGCAGCGTCCCTGTGGTGAGGCAAGGGTGGGGGAGGTGAGGCAGCGTCCCTGTGGTGAGGCAAGGGTGGGGGTGAGGCAGCGTCCCTGTGGTGAGGCAAGGATGGGAGTGAGGCAGCGTCCCTGTGGTGAGGCAAGGGTGGGGGAGGTGAGGCAGCGTCCCTGTGGTGAGGCAAGGGTGGGGGTGAGGCAGCGTCCCTGTGGTGAGGCAAGGGTGGGGGTGAGGCAGCGTCCCTGTGGTGAGGCAAGGATGGGAGTGAGGCAGCGTCACTGTGGTGAGGCAAGGGTGGGGGTGAGGCAGCGTCCCTGTGGTGAGGCAAGGATGGGGGTGAGGCAGCGTCCCTGTGGTGAGGCAAGGGTGGGGGTGAGGCAGCGTCCCTGTGGTGAGGCAAGGATGGGGGTGAGGCAGCGTCCCTGTGGTGAGGCAAGGATGGGGTGAGGCAGCGTCACTGTGGTGAGGCAAGGGTGGGGGTGAGGCAGCGTCCCTGTGGTAAGGCAAGGATGGGGGTGAGGCAGCGTCCCTGTGGTGAGGCAAGGTTGGGGGTGAGGCAGCGTCACTGTGGTGAGGCAAGGGTGGGGGTGAGGCAGCGTCCCTGTGGTGATGCAAGGATGGGGTGAGGCAGCGTCCCTGTGGTGAGGCAAGGGTGGGGGTGAGGCAGCGTCCCTGTGGTGAGGCAAGGATGGGGGTGAGGCAGCGTCCCTGTGGTGAGGCAAGGGTGGGGGCTGAGGCAGCGTCCCTGTGGTGAGGCAAGGATGGGGGTGAGGCAGCGTCACTGTGGTGAGGCAAGGGGGGGGGGTGGAGGTGAGGCAGCGTCCCTGTGGTGAGGCAAGGATGGGGGAGGTGAGGCAGCGTCCCTGTGGTGAGGCAAGGGGGGGGTGGAGGTGAGGCAGCGTCCCTGTGGTGAGGCAAGGATGGGGGAGGTGATGCAGCGTCCCTGTGGTGAGGCAAGGGTGGGGGTGAGGCAGCGTCCCTGTGGTTAGGCAAGGGTGGATTAGGCAAGGGTGGAGGAGGTGAGGCAGCGTCCTTGTGGTGAGGCAAGGGGGGAGGGGCAGGTGAGGCAGGGTGGCTAAGGTAAGTTCCAGATCCCATTATTTGCCTTTGTAACCCTTTCCACCACCGCCCACGGGATGGGTATGGGGTGCATAATATAGAAAGATATTTAAAAATTGAATAGATAGTGTCCCTGAGAGCGGCAGGGAAGACTAGGGTCAAGTATGGTCCTGAAGCAAACATAATGATGAGAGCAGTGTCCTCACAGGAGATCCTTAGCTGAACCGACCCTCGGGGGTCCTCCCCTTCACTGAGAATGGGAAGACAGGCTGCACATGGATGACTGAAGGATGACGGGTGAGGGTAATTAACTACGCGATCCTCTTGTGGTTTCCGGTTACCCTTCCCATTCTCTATGATGAGATAATGTTAGGGTTAACTAATGTATTTTTAGAGCTTCTAGCTCTTGGACCAGTCTTACTAGTTTAAACAGTTGTATTTTGAACGTAGTAGACCCCAAGTCTTTCTTGTGTATGGATAGGCTTAGAGGAATATTTCGGCTCTAGTCATTAATCCCGGGATACACAATCAGGGATCCATCAACACAGAGGACCAGTCACTGGTGTGGATGAACTTTTTTCGCTAGGACTACCAGGGTCTCCTCCATTGCTGAGAGTGGAAAGGTAAGCCGTAGATGGATGACTGACGGATGAGGAGTGATAGTCGTGCGACCCGGGTGCGGTTTCCGGTTATCTCATGGCCTCATGTGGTGTAGAGGCTCCTCTACAGGGTGAGATGGTTGAGATAAGGATGAGTGTGATCACTTGCACGGTAGGTGGTCCTGGTGAGTGTGTGTGGTTAACCTCAAGCCAAAGTTAACATATTGAAAGTGTACGTTTAGAAAACGTAGATTTGTTTTGCCGACCGCTCACTCCACTGTTGGAACGGTGAGGTTATCTTGGTTATCTTGAGATGATAACAACTGGGACGCTGAGCCCACTGGGCTCAGCGTCCCAGTGGCCCGGTCCTCGACCAGGCCTCCTTTTGTTAAACACACACAGGAAGCAGCTCGTAGCAGCTGTCTAACTCCCAGGTACCTATTTACTGCTAGGCAACAGAGGCATCAGGGTGAAAGAAACTCTGCCCATTTGTTTACACCTCCACCGGGGATCGAACCTGTAACCTCAGTACTACGAATCCGAAGTGCTGTCCACTCAGCTATAGAGTTCCCTCCCCCTAAAAAATAAAGTTTGGACAAGGCCTTAGTTGAGAAGGCTAAAATGTTTGTATTTAGGGAGACATATGGATGTGTGATGGATGAGAGGTAATAATCGCGAGACCTGGGTATGGTTTCTGGTTACCCCTCCGCCCTCCCCCTCAGCCCTCCTCAGCCCTCCTCAGCCCTCCTCAGCCCTTCTCAGCCCTCCTCAGCCCTCCCCCTCAGCCCTCCTCAGCCCTTCTCAGCCCTTCTCAGCCCTCCTCAGCTCTCTCCCTCAGCCCTTCCTCTCAGCCCTCCCCCTCAGCCGTCCTCCCCCTCAGCCCTCCTCAGCCCTCCCCCTCAGCCCTCCTCCTCAGCCCTCCTCAGCCCTCCCCCTCAGCCCTCCTCCCTCCCCCTCAGCCCTCCTCCTCAGCCCTCCCCCTCCGCCCTCCCCCTCAGCCCTCCCCCTCAGCCCTCCTCAGCCCTCCCCCTCAGCCCTCCCCCTCAGCCCTCCCCCTCAGCCCTCCCCCTCCGCCCTCCCCCTCAGCCCTCCCCCTCAGCCCTCCTCAGCCCTCCCCCTCAGCCCTCCCCCTCAGCCCTCCCCCTCAGCCCTCCCCCTCCGCCCTCCCCCTCAGCCCTCCCCCTCAGCCCTCCCCCTCAGCCCTCCCCCTCAGCCCTCCCCCTCCGCCCTCCCCCTCAGCCCTCCCCCTCAGCCCTCCTCAGCCCTCCCCCTCAGCCCTCCCCCTCAGCCCTCCCCCTCAGCCCTCCCCCTCCGCCCTCCCCCTCAGCCCTCCCCCTCAGCCCTCCTCAGCCCTCCCCCTCAGCCCTCCCCCTCAGCCCTCCCCCTCAGCCCTCCTCAGCCCTCCCCCTCAGCCCTCCCCCTCAGCCCTCCCCCTCAGCCCTCCTCAGCCCTCCCCCTCAGCCCTCCTCAGCCCTCCCCCTCAGCCCTCCTCCTCAGCCCTCCTCAGCCCTTCTCAGCCCTCCCCCTCAGCCCTCCCCCTCAGCCCTCCTCAGCCCTCCCCCTCAGCCCTCCTCAGCCCTCCCCCTCAGCCCTCCTCAGCCCTCCCCCTCAGCCCTCCCCCTCAGCCCTCCCCCTCAGCCCTCCCCCTCAGCCCTCCCCCTCAGCCCCTCCCCCTCAGCCCTCCCCCTCAGCCCTCCTCCCCCTCCGCCCTCCCCCTCAGCCCTCCTCCTCAGCCTCCCCCTCAGCCCTCCCCCTCAGCCCTCCTCAGCCCTCCCCCTCAGCCCTCCCCCTCAGCCCTCCCCCTCAGCCCTCCTCAGCCCTCCCCCTCAGCCCTCCCCCTCAGCCCTCCCCCTCAGCCCTCCTCAGCCCTCCCCCTCAGCCCTCCTCAGCCCTCCCCCTCAGCCCTCCTCAGCCCTCCCCCTCAGCCCTCCCCCTCAGCCCTCCCCCTCAGCCCTCCCCCTCAGCCCTCCCCCTCAGCCCTCCCCCTCAGCCCTCCTCAGCCCTCCCCCTCAGCCCTCCCCCTCAGCCCTCCCCCTCAGCCCTCCTCAGCCCTCCCCCTCAGCCCTCCTCAGCCTCCCCCCTCAGCCCTCCCCCTCAGCCCTCCTCAGCCCTCCCCCTCAGCCCTCCTCAGCCCTCCCCCTCAGCCCTCCTCCTCAGCCCTCCTCAGCCCTTCTCCAGCCCTCCCCCTCAGCCCTCCTCCTCAGCCCTCCTCCTCAGC